GTTAGGAAAAAAAAAAAAAAAAAAAAACTCTATAATCTTTACAAAATTAACTTTAATCACGATGCATGTACATCATGATTTATATTTTTGTTGACATTCTTCCACGTGACACCATCATCACCTTTGATTTCACCAACATGCTTTCATATCACTGCCTAGATTGTGCGAGATAGGAGAGAACGTCAACCATAATGTAAAGCTAAATGTACATGTAGTTTAATCCAATTAAGTTCGGTATCCATAGTGAAATCTTCCCCTTTTTTCTTTTTCTTTTTCTTTTTCTTTTTTTCTTTTTTTTTTTTTGTCTTTTCTTCTGCATCGTAGAATCTTCCAATTTAAAAAATTGAAAGGTTTCTTGAAAATTACTTATAATTAATTATAGTGGATCATTATCATATGATTATTATTGATAAAAAGTAGACAAAGTGTCCTAGTCCACACTGACTTTTGGGACAGCGTAGATGTAGATCTGTATTTTGCTTACTCCTAACTTTATTCAATGGTTGGCAAACTAAGGTAGAAGTTTGTTTGAAATTATAAGTTGTTTGATTATTTTAATCACTTGTTAATTAACCATTATTACAATGATTTGTCTATGTAAATTTATAATCATTGTCCCACTCTTACCTAATATTCCATTCAACCTTCTTGCTTCTTTGCTTAGGTTTCTAAGAAACAAATTTGCTTCGTGATTTGTACATAAAATTTAACAAATGTTGAATGACTATTAGCTGGTATTTCGTGTAAATTAAAAGGTTGATAAAAATTCAAGTTAAAATCAATAATTAATTTTAAAATATTCAAGTTAAAATTAATAATTAATTTTAATCTCAAATTCCATGATACCCTCAATTTTTTAAGTACACATTGTATTAACTTTTTTTATTAAAATGAGAACCAACCTTGGTTAATATAAAACATTGAACATGTATAAAAAATGACTAGAAAAGTCGGTTAAATTGATATGCCTAGCATAAAAAAACTCTGATAATGAAAATCCATCCTACTCTAAGGTTTTTGATGGACGAGATTCGATTTTACATGGATAGTAAAGGCGTTCACTTTGATTTATATAATTTTGTATAAATGCACCCTTTTTTTTTCTCCAAATCTAAGATTTTCTCGTTCATGTTTGTCCTAATAATTTGCACAAGAAAACATATTTGTGATGTAGTTTCCTATTTAAATTCATCAAACATTTTGTACATAATTTATAATACCATATTTCGAAATCAAGACACTTCATAACAAAATTAATTAATAAAGATTAACTAAAGAAATTAATATATTATGACAATATTTAAGTAAGAATAGAGGTTATACCGCGATAAATTAGTTTTTATATTTATTTAAAATAAATAACTAACATCATAATGCAATTTATATATATATATAGTATTGTATAGGTAGATGGCCATCTATGTTAGATGAATAGGGTTATTCCTTCGATTTTGGGACCAATATATGAACAGTTTTTTATTTATTTAATTTTTCAATAATTTTCCAAAGTGAAAAAGACAAAAATTGGCTCACCTCTCAAAAAAGTCAAAATTGTTACGACAGGGATTCGATGGACCAGTGTGATGTCACAAGTTGCATGTATTACGTTAATTATCCTCCGCCGCATGTGCATGAATGAACCACTGTCAATGTCCCCAGCCCCACCGTGGCTGGGCAGGTTGAAACGTGTTCTCTTTTGTGCCGCAGCCATTGAAACTTGTTAATTTTCAATTGCGAGCGGGACCATCTTCTTGTTGAAAGAAATATCCAGAAGATTGAGAGCTGGATGGACAAAATCCTCCAATCGAATTGAATGATTTGGTTCTTTTAAAATAAAATGGGGCAAGGGATATTGGAAACGAGAATCGATGAGTTTGATTTGAATCTTAATTCTATATATTTGATTGACAAAATCTCCCGATCGAATTGAATGATTTGGTTCTTGTAAAATAAAATGGGGCAATGGATATTGGAAACGAGAATCGATGAGTTTGATTCGAATCTTAATTCTAGATATTTCAAACTGAATAACTGAATCAAGTTTTAATTTATCTATTATTATTTCAAAACTCTTTTTTTTTTTCACTAACTCATTTCAACCACACATTTTAATAAAAAAAAATATTTTCACGAAAATTCAAAACTTTTTCATATTTTTTAATCACGGATTCTTGAAAAACTCACTATTCAAAAACTTATTTTTATTGAATAATGGTAGACAAACATGGGCCAAGAACCAAATCTGTCAACTTTTTTATTTTTATTTTATGATATTGATCTGTCAAAATATTTTAATTTTTTTATTCTAAAAAATATGCTCAATCACTATAAGTTCCCAACTATCATTTTAGATTAATGTTGTGTTGTTTCAAACTTTGTATACATTGGTAAATGAATATTATTAGACAATTGTTTTGTATCTAACAAATTCGGACCATTTTTGTGTTTTTGTAAGATGGGACCTATCATTTGTTAGATTAATATTATGTTGTTTCAAATTTTAGGAGATTGGAATAGGTGTTGGAATTATGAAAACATCGGAAATTTTGATTATGGTATGGAACCGAACCAAATCTAATGGTTCAAGTCCAGCTCGAGTTTATAATTAAAGTTGAATCTGACGGTTCCATTTATAAGATAACATTAAGTTTTAGAGTGTGTTTGATTGACATGGAAAACATAACCTAGAAAAGAAAATGTTTTCCATCTTTTGTGGAAAATAAAAACCACCTCTACCCAAAGAAAATTAGACATATTTTCAAAAGTTGGAAAATGTTTTCCATGGAAAAAAATAGCAATCAAACACTTCAAATAGGAATTTGGGTGGAAAACTGATATTTTCCATGAAAAATAAATGTAATCAAACACACCCTTAATTCAATTTGGTTCTCTTTTTAACGAGACTGAATCTACCCATAATTATGAGACAATACTCTGAGAAACTATAAATTAGTCAACCTTTGTTTAGGGTTTATAATTGTTACCTACTTTTCAATCACATATTCTTTAAAATTCGCTATTTATAAGCAATTATAAGTAACAAACATGCACAAAACAGAATGAAAGTTATAAGCTTCTTTTTCTTTAATTGGTGTTAATTTGTTTCAAGTTAGAACAACTTTAATTCTTATTTGGATATAATTTTTTGAGTTGGTTTCAACCTCTTTTTTCAAATATTATCGATGATGTAAGCTCTTATAACTTTCGCGAAAAGTCTTGTCTAGCAAAATTATTAGCTCATGTATAATAGGAATTAAAATCAAAATTTTAGATTTTATTAAAACTTGATGAAACATGCGGTTAAAAAATAATGAATTCTATAAAATATGTGGCTGAAATTAATTATTAATTAAAATTAAAATGCAGATTTTAATTTCTACCAAACGGTGTTTTAATAAATATTGTGCGTAAATGGGGAGGCAGCAGCAATCACTATTGGTAGATTATCCAAATAAGGACATTTATAAGTGATCCTCAACGCATATGGAGGCTATTTTGAACTCTAAATGTACGCCTAATACATCTATTTGACATTTGTCCTCTCTATAATCACTTTTTATTTATACAATAAATAAATAAATGAGTTAATATGTAATATTATTTTATTGAAAATGTGTAGCTGAAAAAAAAGGAGAGGAAAATATATTTTGCAAATAATGCGGGATCCAACAAGGGCGAAGATGATAGTAATAAATGTTTAAGTAATAATTATAAATTTGTAATTAAAATTAATATTAAATTTTGGTCATTTATAAATTAATTGCCAAATCTAGGCTTCATTGCACAACTCAATAATGTGCTTTCAATCATTTTCATTCTGCTATTTATTTTCTTATATTCAGGTATCCACCTTAGAATGATTAAATCCTGAAATATATACATTGGTCCCTCAAGTTGCAGACAAATTAAACCGTAGGTTGTGCCCCAAACTGACCAGTGCTCAAGAGCCTCCCAACTGATATGTCAAAGTGTCAAATAAATCGTTTTCCATCTTTACACATTACCTTCCAGTAAAATTTCTGCCTTCCATGAGAATACCCGCCTTCATTCTACTATTTTTATTACTTCTTGTGTTCAAAGGCTGTTCTGCACATTTGACATCGTCACATTGAGCGAGAATGTTGACCGTCCGATCAATTGACCACAGGGTAATGATATTCTGCATTCGTCAAATCAATCACATCAAAATCAATCTATTTTCTTGAAGGGTTAGTCAGGTCCGGTTGGTGGATTTTTGGTTTGCCTTTTGAATTTCACACATTGGTTAATGAAATATTGTCAACGGGTCGGGTTTTGAAGTGATCGGGGCCACGTCTCTTTTGTGGGCCAAACTTTTACGTTCAGGACGAATTTACACAAATAGCACTATATGCACACTTAAGGTCCATTTGATTGTAAAGATGAAATTGAGTTGAATTGAAAACGAATTTCAAGAAATTGAATTATCTAGAAATTATTTTCTTGAAAATTGTAAATTATTGTGTTTGATTAGTATAATTTTTTACGTGAAAAATGTTGAAATAAAAGTATTTTTTGATGTTCGTTTGACTTTGTTTTACATGAAATTGTCAATTAAAGAGATAAAATTTACTAATATTGGGTATGAAATTTATTTCCATTGTCAATAAAAAAAAATCAAGAAAATTATCTACCTTTTAATATTCGTTTGGCTTTATTTTACATGAAAATTTTCAGTAAAAGGGAAATATTTTTTTTACAATAATTCTTAGAATTTATTTTCATTACCCAAAAAAAAAAAAACAAAAAAAAAACAGAAGAAAAAAATTAAAAAATTGCTACAGTAATCGAGAATTCCAATTCTATGATTTCATGGAAAATACTGACGTAGCAAGAAAGTGAGAATTTCAATTCCATGAAAAATTTTGGACAATCCAACAACCAAAAATTGGAAAATGGAGGAAAAAGTGGAGCAATCAAACTCTACCTTAATGAAAATGTTTATAAAACTGTTTGTTCCGATAGCAATGCCAAGAAGCTTCACAGATGATAACATGGTGGGATTTAATTAACTATTTTAAATCTATTTTTTGTTCAAAGTCCAATAAAAGTCCTGTCACTTGAAGTACTATAAAAATGCCTTTATACAATGCCCATACATGTAGCATCTCTCATGTTTATAATCAAGAGAGTTTCTACTTCGGGTAAAAAGATATTACACGGACATCTCAAGCAAACCACAACATTTGTAATGACAAAATAGGTCAATCTCTACGATTTCTAAAATCATCTGCTCCATGGACTCTGTAACCCGAGCAAGAAGTCTCGTTGCCATTTTCCTCGAGAATAAGTTTGACTCCGTTGTTCTTAAGGGCATGAACTATAGACCATACCTTTGTGCTGTTCTTTAGACCTTTCTTCTCAATCTCTTTGTTCACGTCTACATGGATACCTCGCCCCTGGCCTTGTTCAAGACCCTCCACTTTAAGTCTCATCGCCAACACTTCTCCCACAACTGCTGCTGCTTTCGCATTGCAAGACCGACCACATTCAAGTGAATTTTTTAGAGAGTGTTCAACTGTCGATGCTGTTGCAACTATCCTTCCATTATTCCTGTCTACCACATTTGCAGTTATATACTTCAACGATATGAACAATCTCAGCACATATCTCTTTAGCAATGTCATCCGTGAAAATTTAGTCTGTTAAAAAGACAGCAAGTAATTTGTTACTAACTTGCAAAACCATGTAGACATATCTATGCATAGTAGAAAAAATCATCTCAAGCTAAAACATGATATCAAAATCGACTCTGTCCTGTTAATCATTGAATAACTCCTTTGAAAGAAGAAATCCTGTACGAAGGGATTAAATACCATCGAATTTAAAAACCATGGAGACAATATGTATCTATTTGGTTATATTCATTCACATTCCTTTCCCTTCGGCTTTAGAAATACTAGCCCAACTCTGGTAGCTGCTTGCTCACTATGTCATCCACGTGGATATTTCCGCAAACGAGCAAAGCATGAACATATTTTTTACCAAACTGATGAAAGTAACTAGTCGTCATCCAAATCATATGAAACAGACCCGATTAGGTAATCCCTCCATTGGTATAGCAAACATGTAGGTAAATTTTTTGCCACATTTTAAGCTCAAAACTAGTAACAAAACATGCTGGAATTTTCAAAAGGAGCAGACAAACTAAACACACGCACTATGCAAATGAAATATAAGTACATAACCAATGTATTCCCGCTTTCAATGCTCGTAAACAAGCGTTCAAAAGAAAACAGAAAGAAAGAGAGAGATTACATAAGTAGCAGGCATAGTACTGGCTTGAAGTATGAAAGAAGAGGGGTATCAAAATTTCAGGAGCTCCATACATTTCAAAAGGTGCGTGCTTGTTGAGTTCGATATACGAAAATTCAAAGATGAGGCAACAACATCTATATTTCTTCTTTATTTACTGATCATGGAAAAAGATGCTGAATCTTGCTTAGATGTTTTGAACTGTACCCATAATGTCAAGTCACAATTACTTTCATAACTAAATTACTAAATATCTACCTTTTATAGTTTGTCAAGATAGAAACATCAAACATAGAAAGAGAAGAAGAATATTATAGAGTTCAAAAACTATATGCTACTTCAAATAAATAGCACATAACAATTAAATGTTTAAAATGTCCGATAGAGAATTGCTACATATGAATGATTCTGTGAACTCCTGTCACAGGGGAGGAAACAAGAAATCTCATTGTGGGACTGTGAAATATTAAAAAGTCATTGAACGAATAAAACTCAAGTATAACTAAAAAAGTCATAATATGACATTATCTAGTGCTCGGCAATTTCTAGAGCATAAATTTCATCAGCAATTTCTAGAGCATAAATTTCATCTATAATAAAATCTATATATATATTGGCAGCCAATTATAAAAACCTAGCATGTACATTCAAAATACTAAAACCTAATCTAATTTGTACGCTGAAAGTCTTCAAATGTGGAAGAATATTTTTCCAACAAGAGATATGCTTTATTATAAGAGCAGTGCAGTTTCCATGGGATAAGAGTCCAACAATGCATAACATATCATTATTAATCAATATCCAATCAAAGAAGACAATTGGGAAAGACTGCAACTTTTTATCCTTTGATTAGTGCTAAGATATTCCAAGTCATTGAACATACATAAATTTAATAAACTGGAGTACTTAACTGCTGAAATTCAGGACTGAATCGGCACAAATGTACCGGAAAAACACCTATAAATCCCCATCTTGAGCTTCTGTTTTCTGCACAAATCTAAGCGCAATCTAATTTCTATATTCAAAACCTTAATCTAATAACTAGTTTTTATTAAATTTCAGCAACATTAAAAAATTAAGAACAACATTGTAAAATAAAAAAAAATTCAACAATAAAACCTCAATACACTTTTGTAATCTGTATTCTGTAAAGGAACATTGTAGGATACATATTGACATTGCACAAAAAATAATAATAATAATAAAAATAAATAAAAATAAAAATAAAAATAAAAAAACAACATTCACAGTTTCCTAAGCAGCTAAACTCCATTTAGAGGCGCCAAATAAGGGTATTAGGACATTTGTACAGCTATACAGGAAGTTAGCAAGTTAATTAGGAAGTTTACCAGATAGATGTTAATTGTGCCAGCTGGATGTTAATTAGTTAGTTGGGCTTGACATCTATTTATACCCGTGTACATTTGATCATCAGTGATGCAATTCTCATTTTGAATAAGAAATAAAACTCTTCATTTCTTCTAATATGGTATCAGAGCATACTCCTTCCAGCATTCATCCAATTCTTCTCCTTCTCCTCCTTGTTTGAGATCTCCAATATCATCTTTGTTACTATGGAGTCTGTACAATCCAAAGGCAACAATGATCAATGTTCGTATTCGAGCAAATCCGCCATGGATGAGCCATCCAGTCCATATTTCTTGCATCATTCCGATAGTCCTAGATTGGTGCTAGTATTTTAGTTGCTCACAAGGGAAAACTATGCCTCTGGGGGCCGTGCAATGACCATTGCTCTTTGGGTGAATAACAAATTTTCCTTCATTTATGGATCGATGAAGAAACCAGAAGATGCAAGTCCTAAATTAATAATTCATGGAATCGAAATAATAATATGGTAAACTTCTTAACTAACTTACTAACTGCCTGCATAGCTGTACAAATGTCCCAATATGGACTTTCATGATCATTTCAACATTCAGGAGACTACAACCAAGAGGATGATTGGCAAGAGTGATAAAGTTAAAGGATTGTATGTACTTGACACCGGAAATTTCAATTCTTCTCCAAATGTATTTGTTGGTCATATTTCTGCACATACTTGGCATAATAGACTAGGTTATTTATCTTTTAAAAGATTAGATGCCTTGAAAAACCAATTGGCGTGTTATGCTTCTCAGTTGAATAAGCATCTTCCTCGTTATGTGTGTCCCATTGCTAAACAAAGAAGATTGTTGTTTGAGTCCAACAATAAAATGTCCAGCAAGCCTTTCAATTTGTTGCACTGCGATATATGCGCTGTGATGCTCGGACTCGAGTATAGGTATCGAGTACTGGTACGTATCTAAGTGTCATCTTTTATTTTTTAAAATGTAGGATACAGAGATATGGTTAAAAAGAGTCCAAATTTCGGATACGGGTACGTGGGTACGTCTTTCAAACTTCATTTTTTCCCCCCCAAAAATTCACGTGCAAAAAGTTAAATAATAATTAGGTGAATTTTAATTAGAAAAAATATTGAATGACTAAAATGTAAATTTACTCAAAGCATGGTTACCTCCAATGAAAATCTTCCTAATCAATCAACAACTTCCAACAAATGTTGTATGGGCTAGGGTAAAATGAATTTCTTATTGCAATTAACCTAAGCAACATATAATGGGCCTAATATTTTAAAATAGGCCCACCTCAACAAAGAGACCACAATTAAGAAAAAACAGCCCAACCAACTCATTGTCTTCCCTTTCCCTCTTCTTCACTTCACGCGACTGTTCGTCCTCCAGCCTATAAATTCAGGCAGAGCAGCATCGGCGGCTGTGCCACATCTCCAGCTACTGGCTCCGTAGTTGGTGACGATTCATCGAACTCGGATTCAAAGAAGCCTCGTCGCCCATCAATTCAAGATTTGCCGTGTCCAATTGATTTATCCCGTATCTGCCCCAGATCCCATGCCTGTACCCATATCGTGTCGGGACGACACGGGTTCTCCGACCGATTTAAAAAGTCCGAGCATCACAGTATATGGGGACCATACCATGTTCCTTCACATACAAGGTACATGTACTTGTTGACATTAGTTGATGATTGTTCCAGATTTACCTAAATATACTTGCTACATCAAAAATCTGATGCTATGCATAAAATTCCTCGTTTCTTTAATATGGTTGCTACACAATTTAATGCTTCAATTAACGCTTTCAGATAAGATAATGCCCCTGAGTTATCATTTAAGGATTTTTTTTTTTTTTTTGGCTGAGAAAGGAGTATTACACCAATTTAGTTGCATTGAAAGACCACAACAAAATTCCGTTGTTGAACGTAAACATCAACACCAACACCTGTTAAATGTTGCTCGAGCTTTATTTTTCAATCTAGAATCCCTGTACATTTCTAGTCCGAGTGTGTATTAACAGCAGCCTACCTCATCAATAGAACCCCAACTCCCCTCTTGCAACACAAAACACCTTATGAAGTCCTCTATGGCAGTCCAACTAATTATTCAATTCCTTGAGTCTTTGGATGCTTAGGATTTGCATCTACACTCACTGCACATAGAGATAAATTCCAACCTAGAGCTAAATTATGTGTATTCTTGGGCTATCCATCAGGTATCAAAGGGTATAAGCTCCTTCATGTCGAATCAAAACATATTGTTATATCTAGGGATGTCATATTTCATGAGTAAATATTTCCTTTCCATACTATAGTGAAGACTAACCAATTGCTAGACCCATTTCTAGATCTAGTACTACCATCATCATTTTCACCACGACACCATTATACAATCAAACCATGTTGACAACAATTCTCACTCACATGATCACAGTAGTCCCTCCTCTGAGACAACTCGTTTCTCACTTCCACACAACTCTATTTCATTGATCATTCACAATCTAATGAACCACCAAACCCTTACATTCGAGAATGCAAAAGAGCATCCAAACCGCGTAAATACCTCCTCGACTACCATTGCAATTTGATATCCCCATCTGACCATTCAATTCTTTAATCCCCAAATCACATTGGTCACTTTGTATCTTACAATAATCTGTCTGAACATTACAAACATCCAGTTCTAAACATATCATCTCATTTTGAACCTCAATCATTCCAACAAGCTGCCAACTTTCCTCATTGGCGTGATGCCATGAAACTGGAACTGGAGGCCATGGAGCTCAATCACACATGGTCCATAGTACCTTTATCCCCAGGGAAGCACTAAGTTGGGTGTGAAGGGATTTTCAAAAACAAATACAAATCAAATGGGTTGCTTGAGAGGCATAAGACACGGCTTGTTGTGAAAGGATACACACAACAAAAAGGGTTAGATTACTTCGATACTTTCTCTCCAGTAGCCAAAAATGTCAATATCAAACTCTTACTAACACTTGCAGCTCATTATCAATGGCATCTAATATAGTTAGACGTAAACAATGCTTTCTTGAATGGAGATTTGTTTGAAGAAGTTTACATGGTTATTTATCCAAGCTATGAATATCTTAACTCATCAAAATAGGGGGAGAAACTGGTTTTTAGATTGCACAATTCCATATATGGACTCGGACAAGCTTCAAGACAGTGGAATTCCAAGTTTACTTAGGTCCTAGTTCAACATGGTTTTAAGCAATTCAAGGAAAATTTTTCTTTCTTCACTAAAGGGTCTGGAGACAACTTTGTAGCATTGCTAGTTTGTGTGGATGACATTGTACTAATAGAGCCTAATATCCAAATCATTGATTCATTAAAGGAATTCTTACACAGTCAATTCAAGCTCAAAGATCTAGGACACTTAAAATATTTCCTAGGGATTGAAAATTGCCCGTTCATCTTCGGGTAGTATCATCTCACAAAGACAATATACAATGTAGCTCCTTGAAGATATAGGTTATCTAGACTGCAAACCAATGAACAGCCCCATGGAGTCAAAATCAACACTCAGTCTTCATGAAGGAGATATATTGCCAAATGCTGCTCATTACAAAAGATTAATTGGAAGACTCGTATATTTGACATTATCACGGCCTGACATTACCTTTGCAGTACATAAATTGAGCCAGTTCATGTCCCAACCAAGGATCACACATCTAAAAGCTGTCCACCATCTTCTGAGATATTTGAAAGGCAATCCTAGACAAGGTCCTTTATTTTCCTCACAAAGGCAACCTGGTTCAGCCATCAACATTCGAGCCTTCGGATGCTGATTGGGGATCATGTATTGATACCCGGAAATCAACTACTAGTTTTTTTGCATTTTTGTTGGCAATTCAATGGTTTCATGGAAATCAAAGGGACAGCCAACCATCTCTCAATCATCAGTTGAAGCAGAATGTAGAGCTCTTGCTTCAACTGTGAGTGCGATCATTTGGATCAACCATCTGCTGAAGGATTTCCAAATCATTACTACTTCTCCAGCCACTCTCTATTGTGACAACCATGCTGCAATACAGATTGCCACCAATCCGGTCTTCCACGAAAGAACGAAACACATTGAAATTGATCGCCATTTTGTTCGTGACAAGATTAATGCTGGACTAGTGAAATTTCTTCCGGTTCGATCAAAACACCAGCTTGCAGACGCATTCACCAAAACATTGCCTGCCTCTGCCCTTTACTCTTTGTTATCCAAGATGTGTGTAAAAGATATTTACAGCACATCTTGAGGGGGAGTATTAGGACATTTTTACAGCTATGCAGGCAGTTAGCAAGTTAGTTAGGAAGTTTACCAGCTGGATGTTAGTTAGTTGGGCTTGACATCTATTTATACATTTGATAATCAGTGATGCAATTCTCATTTTGAATAAGAAATAAAAATCTTCATTTCTTCTAATAATGGGACTGAGGTGTGGTCAGAGAGAGAGAGAGAGAGAAGCCGAAAAGTAGGTTTTTGGGATCAGAAAAATGAAAATAGACAGATTGGGTTTATTTTGGGGTAGTTGCCACCTTCCATGAAGAATTTAGTGATTGGTTAGAGAACTGAGGTAAATCGAAATTGAAACCAGAGAGTTTTCCGTATGCGTCTCAGTTTATCGCATCAAATTCATAAAAATAAAATAAAAATAAAAAATTATTTACCAATAAATCTACTGAAATCTCAAATTACTCAAAAAATTTAAGCTCGGACGGAAAACCTGCTAAAAGTATAATGAATTTTCTACCTGACGACGGTGTGAGGATGTTCCTCTGTGGCAATTGTAAAGGAATAAGACAGCCGGCAGTGGCAGTGGCGGTGGGCCAAATGCTCAATCAGTGTATGATGGGAAATAAAGACGAGTCCAAATCAGTAAATAGCATGGCCTCAGCTAAAGACTGGGGCATCAATTGATGGTATTTTGGGCTTCAACGGCCTTCCTTCAACTAGGTGGCCCAACAAGTAACTTTTCTATGATTTTCGGTTTACTTATAAGTAAACTTTTAAGTCGCGCCAAACACGTACCATGTTCGGTAGTAATTTCCGTCGAGGTATAATGCTCGTCGCCATATAAATATCTTACAAACTGTCTATTTTTCTCCTCCCAGCAAAGAAAAAATCTTCACAGCAACCCAATTTCACCTCTGCAATTATCCACAAGATGAGTCACCAAGCTGAGTCTTCCGACTCGTAAGTATTCATTCTTAATCTCACCGATGCCTTGGTTAAATCGTCTACAATGAATCGCCAATAATTTATGATGTTGAAATGATCGCCGGACTTTTGACCTCTTTTTGGTCTTAAACAGGAAAGGCGGGAAGAAGGACTTCTCGACGGCCATTTTGGAGAGAAAGAAGGCTGCGAATCGGCTGATCGTTGACGAGGCTGTCAACGATGACAACTCCGTCATCTCGCTTCACCCCGCTACCATGGAGAAGCTTCAGCTTTTCCGCGGAGACACTATTTTGATTAAGGTTTTACTTTTATTGATGGATTTTTAAATTTTTTAGGCGGATATTTTTTAGGGTTTCTGAAAATTATTCGAAGCTATTTGTTATGAATTGTTTTTGGTTTATTAGTTAGCTTATGATAGATCAGCTTGGAGATATACGTGCCTCTTAGGATTTTGGCTTAAGTCAACTTAAAATTGGGTAGGCTTGAATGAACTTACTTTCAATACTTTGGTGCTTCAGGTGTAAGATAATACGGATTGAAATATGTCTTGATAGAAAGGGTTTGTAAATTGTGTTTTGGAGAATCTGAATTTCTAATATTAAGACTCTTTGGTTGCCCGGAGTTGGGGCTCTCATATGCATTATTATGTAGAGAAGGACAATACTTAGCCTTGATTTGGGATTGTCACTGAATTTAGTTTTTA